CGCCTGTCTCGCCTGCGGTTACTGCTGCTGCTGTAGTGGCTGGATTCACTGCCAGATGGGCTCTGAGGAGAAGAAAATAGGAGGATAAAGGATGTCAAAGCTGCAGCACAGAGGGGTGTAGTTACACTGATGTCTTCAGAAAGGAGACTATACTATTTAAGAATGCCCAGTTTTACACAAAATGGGACAAAAGATCAATACAGAAAAAACACAGAGAACACCTAGGGTGAAATTTTATTATTTTTGAAAATAAATAAGTTTATTTGTATGTAACATAAACATTACAGTTTATATATTGTATATTTCTATATAAATCTTATATACTAATTTCCAATGCCCATCCCTAGATGGGCCTTTAAAATACATAAAACTCAACAACAAACAAAGTAAAAAACACAAACTCAATAATACGTACAGACAAAGCAACACAGAACACAAACTAATAAAATAAATCACCATAAAACAGGACGCAGCAGATCATTCATGACTACATGATTGATTGCTCTTCAAAAACTCTTTCTGTTTGAGTTTAAGATGATCCCAGTCAGGATCCAGTTTTACTTCTGTAGGTAAGGAGTTCCCCATTTTGATTCCCCGAAGAGAAAAGCAGTTTGGATGGCTCAAAAATTAAAATTTGTATTGCTGATTGAAATCTCTTCTTACCTGTTCTCCTGGTCGTCTCTTGACTCCCTTCTCAATTTGTGTCTCCTCCCAAAGTTCCTGCTCTTCTCCATCAGTCCCTGAGAAACTGCCATCACTTCCTCCTAGATTACACACAAACAGACAAAACAGTACAACTCACATTCCCACAGTTTGATGCAAAACCTCTTCACCCCATCTCCCCTGTCTCCGTCCCTCTCATACCAAGTTTCTCAGCAATCCTCTCCCTTATGCTCTTCAATCGTGGGGCGAACTCGATTCTTCTCTCATGATCATCTGGTTCATCATCGTCATCATCAACTCTGTCTTCGTCATCGTCTCTGCTGTAATGATCCGGGGTGCTACCAGCGGAGCTCTGGCCATCTCTACCCAGGGAAATGAACTCTTTCTGTGCTCGAGTGGTGCGACGCTGCCTCCTGGCTGCCCGGATCTCTTCAGCATTGGGGATAATTACTGTAAAGTGGTTTTAAATCAACAGACAGGGAGACACAATGAATATAAATGGCAAGCAGACAAACACAGACACACACAAACACAACAAATGCCACGTATTATAAGCAATAGTGGAAGCAAGTGGTAGCAACAGAAATCTGGCTTCTTAACAGTGCTGGACATTAAATAAATACTTTATGAAGAACTGAACTATAGTTATCTGGTATTCAATAATAAAATGTTTGAAATTACTTACATTTCATTACTAAACAATGTGTTTTCAGTGTCTTAACAGCTCTGTGTTTTTAGCAGACACATTGCAATTGTACTCTCAGAATAACACCTAATTTATCATTATGATAAAGTCAGGTTGTACATGGGATTGTAAATTGGATGTACAGTCGAAATTGGTACTCAGGAACCAGCAGACTGAACATTGAGTTTGTCTCTAAAACCTTTAGCATGCACACACACAGACACAATAACCATCTGCAGGTTTAAAGCACCCAAAAGCACAGATTCCCTCGCCCTCTGACACACACAGCATACAGTACACCCACAAAAACACACACCTGGTTTAGTAGCAGAGCGGCTGGAGTCTGAGGCTGAGCTGACTGAGGGAGACCTGACACTAACTTCATCACTGTCACTGTCACTGTCACCATCATCATCATCATCATCATCGTCGTCGTCATCATCATCATCATTACGGTGCAGAGCACGTGGTGAAGCCTGATCTTGCCTGAGAGAACTGGATGATGGGACACCTCCACCCGCTGGGGCTTAGAGAGAAGAGAGGGAGACATGCCAATACAAAAAAGATTCTAAGTATGATTACATTAGCAAACATTATCATATTATAATCTAGAGAATTACTGAAATAAGATGAAAATGTTACTTCAATTACATCTTAAGTTTGTGGGCCAACAGGTAAGACTTCTGTATAGGCATCATTTCTGAGACCAAAATAACTCTATACTAAACAAATCATACTTGTCACTGCTGATATGCTTTACCCCTTTTCCATGAATCCATGAACAAGTATTTGTTAGATTACACTACAGCTACTTGTATTTCATCTGCAGGTTTCAAAAGGTTAAATTCAAGACTTTAAAAAGGCCATTATGAATCCAGTTTAAGACCTATTTTGCATCCATACTAGTAAAAAAAGTACAAAAGAAATATGAAGGAAAATCCGTACTGGTTTCATGGCAGTTTTGTTTTGTAATTGTTGCCTGTTGTTGCATAATCAATACAAATTCTTCCCAAAAACCCATTTAAAAGCAAGACTGAAAAATGATTTATACAAGTAACATTGACTTTAATACATTTTTAAGACCTGTGAAAATCATATTTACGACAGTTTAATAGATACAGTTTAATTTGAGACTTTTTATTACCCCTGTTTATCAGGATTTACAATCGGTTGCCAGTTCATTAGTTGCACTGATGGTGTCGTTTTAATATTTAGTCTGCCCTCATGGGGTGGACAAATTATTAGAAACACCTCTCAGCGTAACAGAACAATTAAACAGCACTACGAACACACACTCTACAATTACAGCTTCCAAGATAATGTTAAACTTGAATCAAAACCTTCAACAGTTTAAACAAAAAAACATAACATTATATTCTTCATACAGGTAGGATTTATTACAGCACTCTTGTATTAGATGGCATTAGTGTTAACTATGTTTTTTTTCCTATCTTTATTCAAGAGTGTGGTCCTTTAATTAGAGAAAATGACCTATTGATTGCATGTTCTGATTTTCAATGCTTTCCCTCAAAAGTCTGCCCTCGCACTCAAAAAGCTGCTTGTGCTCAGATGTGCTGTGCTTGTCTTCAAAATGTGTGTTTGCATGCAGATATATCAGGACTGAGTCTAGCAGATTGCTGGACAACATGGAGCGGCAATGTCAAGGACTGAACATGAAATCAATAAGTCATGTTCTCAAACTAAAAGACCACATTCTTGAATAAAGATAGGAAAATAACCCACTGTTAACTCGGTGTACGCTGGCATCTGACATGTATGTATGTACGTTAGTGTATGTATACTGTATGTGATCGTAAGATTTGAGTATGCAATGCGTCATCTACCATGTTGACCTGCTAGTGTGAGTCATGAGTGTTTCTCATAAGAACCAGTGAGGTACCTACCTGTGCTGTGGGTGGTCTTGGCAGGTGAAGCCTCCTTCCTCCTAACTTGGAACAGCACAGCTTTATCAGAAGACTTCTTCAGCTTAAATGTTGGCCCCTCAGCTGAGACAGTAAAAAAAAGAATATCAGATATCAATGACAAAAACTTACCCCCACTCTCAACTACCACCCTCTGTGCAGTGTTTTTATACCCTGTCGCCTTCAAGTTCCTATGAAGTACAGTGCACACAGCAGTCCATAAATGGCAACTACGTTATACGAGCAGAAACCTATAAACCAATCAGTACTCTTGTGCTGGAACAATACTGCTTTCTGTGTGTGAGTTACTCTGCGGTAAACACAACTTCATGTAGGACTATAGGACAGAGCCACAAATTTAGCAGTACCGGTCTAAGTTGATAGTGTAAAGTACACTGGTGGTACAGTGGTACAGTGGTGCAGTGGTACAGTGGTACAGTGGACTGGGACCTGTGGGGCATTGACACTTTGTCCAGTTAGTTAACTGTGTGCACAAATGCACAGGTGATAGGGATAATTTAAGTGGCGAGAAAATACTAGGCAATACAAATATCTCAGATCAAATATATTCTGTCTATACATTTTTAGTCTCATTAACACACTAACGTTATAAAATCTTGTTCATGTCAGCAATTTCAGGCTCATTTTCAACGTTACGTTGCTCTAACACGTTCGTTACCAACTCGATCCATCTTTAAAATTATTGACTTCAAAACGACATATTTATACTTAATTACCTTCTTTGTCGTCAGAGAAACTGAGAATGTTTGTTTTTTTCTTAGTCCCGTCTTTCTTCCTCTCCTCTATTTCTTCTGTCACTCCCAACCTCCGGTCACTTTCACCGTCTTCCCCGTCGCTGCTATCCGGCTTGGGAGGCGTCGCTTCCCGCTTGGAGCTGCAAGAGATTCCGCGGCCCTGGGCCAGATTTAACGGCTTATTTACCACAATGGGAGCTTTCTGATTTTCCTCTTCATCCCCGTTGTTCTTCTGTTCCTCCTCCTCTTCACTGGAGTTCTCCTTTCTCTGCCGAAAGTTCCTGCGGGGCTTTTTATTGAACATTTTTGCCCCACTTGCATGGGGGTTAGTGGCTGGACCGTAAACCAGAAGTAAACCGTAGTACGTCGCGTCAGAAACCGCTTGACGCAGTCGCAAAATGGAACGCAACACAACCGCAATGCACTATGGGTTATGTAGTGCTAACCCCAAAAAAGTAAAATTAGGCAACTTGCAGTTCATTTTACATTCTCCAGATTTCAAACAGCATTATTAGTTTTAAAAATATATATATATTAAAAAAAGACATTAAACTGTAATGTAGTGCCGTACTTTATAGCAGTCAGGCCGCCCTTATGGACCCGGCTGTACTGCATAAGTAGGTATAATATTCAGGAGAAATTAATAATGTATGGCTGTTGGCTCAGGAGATTATCTGTGGTAAAATGTGAACCAAAAGCAGGTGAGTTTAGGAATATGTGACCTTCTTGTGGTTCGACATATGACAATAACTCGCTAGGAAACTGAAGTAAATGTAGGGCTTACAAAATTAGAATAAGAAAAAAAAAGGACTAGTAGTTCTTGCATTGCCTGCTCTCTTATCTTTCTCCCATCACCAATTGTTCTCCCTCTCCATCTGTTTCACTGTTTCTTCCTCCCAGTGTCTCTCCTCCCACAGTGGACGGTCCGACGTTAACAGCGCCCCGCAGCCCTGCAGCCACACTGCTGCTGCTCACTCGTCGTCAGCCATGTTGTTGGTGGTGTGACACACCGAGCTGTCAGCAACAGGTTCTCTGAGTATCAACGCTGCCGAAACTTCATCGTTTCCCTCACAAATACTGCTCTCTTTGGATAGTAAACCTCCTCATTGTGTCTCGGGAACCGTCCAGAAGTGGTGGATGATAACTTCGGGTCCCGCAGAAGCTCAGAAGTTCATGTTTTTTGGGGTTTTTTTTGGCCGTGGTGAGAGAGGTACGCAAGAGAAACTGCTTATCTAAGCATGAGTTTTAAGTTTGATGTTGTTATGCTAATGTTTGTACAGATGGTTTTTAGGTTTCACACGAGCTTTAGGACTGTGTCTAATATCGCTTTTTAATGTTTTGTTTGGATTTGTGATTCAGGAATATAAAAGAAAAGTATCTTTGAAGGGAGTGGGGGGGGTGTGATGCTTCTCTGCTGATCTCTCCTCAAAACAACCTGGGATGGGAGTTAGCGAGCTAAGTCATTAGATGTTAGCTATGATCGACACCTAGACACATTTTATGTATTTACTGACCCCCCTTCAAGGCGAACCCGGGTGGAAAGTAAGTAGTAAAGGCAGATCCTCAGGAAAGTCTCCTAAATTCCTCTCGGTCCAAACTAGTTGTGCAGGTTGCAGACTTGTCTCAGACTGGCTGGTGACAAGTGATCAGGGAATGTTACTCTATCAGTTTATCTTACATAGAGGGATGGGTCGTGAGTTAAAGAAATCTGTGGTCCACAGTAGAGCAGCAGTGCTCATTTATGTCTTTATTTTTAAATTTGTTCCTATTTTGAGTTGTCCCACTGTGGGTCTCTAGTTCTGATAATATCGAAAAGAAGCACAATCAGAGCCAGTATTAAATAAGCATCACTTACAACATCATCAAAGATCACAAGACCAGCTCATTGTTATTGTCCATAGTATTTATTTTTTTATTTGATAAATAATGATTTACAGGCTTATTTCAGCTGTTACTAATATTATCCATTTTGCCACAATACCACCAGTTTAGTTACATAATTGTGAGACTTAGTGCTGACACCCAAACAGTTTTTGTATAAAATCTTTTAAGCCGTTTTTCTTCACAGCAGGCCGATTCTTAAGAAAGCTCTTCTGTCAAGTGCAGCAGCACATAATCAATGCATCGTCATCATTATTGGGCATAATTTTAACGTCCATGGCGGTGCAGATTTTATTGCAAACATTGCCTGACTCTGATAAAGCTGACTGAAATGTGTGAAGCTAAGGGCCATTTTCAATTTGCATGAGCTAGTTGATGATGCATTCAGTGATGCACATAGCTTAGTACAGAGATTAAATGCTAGACAAGCTGCTTTTTATGAAGTGTTTCTAACACTTACAGTAATTTAAAAGACTCTTCGGTCTTTTCAGGTGTGTCTTTATCTCTTCATGATTTTAATGCTTAACATGGGCTCTTTTTTTTGTCGTCCTCCACCGTATTGTAATTATGTTTCCCCTCAACTGATCAATCTGGTTTTGACCTCCATGTTGGCAAACGTCCACTAGGCTGAAGCGTCTTTAAGGCAAAACAGTTGATGGCTGCCAGGAGTGCTGTTGTGTGGCCTCACGTCACCTCAGACCTTTCTGGACAGGCCCACTATTGGGTTGGTAAGGAATTTAATCAGCAGATGTAAGGTTTGTTAATTCCTCCTCCTTAATATCTTTTTCATTAAAAGTACAGTGAATACTTACACGTATATGCTCAGTAAGACCAGAAATATCCTCTTACCTGTTGTTCATACTATAAAGTAACAATTGATTGCAGTACTTTCTCCAGTCCTGTCATATTTTACTTACATGTCGACAAATCAGGGTGGGTCAAAGCAGACTAAAGGAAGGAGAGGCATGCCTTGCCTCTTAAGAAAACAAAACCCAGCACTGCAAACAGGATTAATCAAACCCAATCTGAAACATTTCAAAAGGCCTTTGCAGCACTTTCTAAACACGTGAACACCGCTGGTGGATGGGGTGTTCATTGGCAGCGTGGGTGCTGAAATATCACAAGGCCAGCTGAATAGTAGAGGTCTATGGTGGGAAGGACTCAGAAAGATAGAAAATTATGTAACAAATAAATAATAGAGATATGGGTCATTTTACTGTATATAGAAGCACAGGCAGACAGAGAGGGACAGAGAAAGAGCCATCAGGGAGAGAGAATTGGGGTTGATGTCATTGGTGTGAGGTCAGCGAGTGAGGCGGCTGGAAATCAATCATTTTGTAGAACAACAGGCAGTGCTTGTTTCAGAACAGTAGTGGTGAGGACACGCCAGGGTCACACAACTGGTAGGGTATAGATTTAGGGGCAGAGTTGGCATACATAGATATACAATGACCTATGGAGAGACAGAGGGAGGAGAAAAGGTCTGTCCAAAAGACAGTCAGAATGAGGAAGAGGAGGAAAGCTTATTGGAAACATCAGTGACACCTTTCATATCTGGTTCTTCATTGTGTTCTTTATTTCCTTCTGTCAGTGTAAAAGAGAGTCTGCGTGGGGCACCACATGCAACAGACCAACAGACACAGACGGATGCACTCAGAGTGAGAGAAAGAGAGTAAGATCTGTGTAGTTCAAAGCTGCTACTGACGGCTAAGGTCAGGGGCAGACAGACTATTTATCCAACAGTTGTCTGTGTTGTATATACTAAAGGAGAGAGAGAAATGTCCCAGTCTCTCAGCAGAGACCAAAGCAGAACTGAAGCAGGTGAGGTCTGACCAACATAGCCAAGTCAAAAATAAAAAGACAAAACCACTTCGGGAAGTGTGTGATATCTTTTACCACAACACTTCAGTCAAACATTACTTCAGCATTAAGTGGTTTATGTTGACCTTCAAAAACAACTCAGTGTAATGGTTTTTTTTTGTTACGGTAGTTAGAAAATGTAATTTAAGTTGAAGAAATTGGTTTTACCTAAAGGCCCAGAATTCAGGCTAATTAAAAGTCTTGCTTTGAGAAATTTTGACTTGACATGGCAGGAAGACCACAGGTGTAATTAATAATATAATACGGGCTGCATTCCAATTAGCTCTAGTAGTTTCAGAGCTGTGCAACTGTGTATGCTTGCTCATAGGCAAGGCTTACTAATGCATTTAAGGGATACAGAGCTATCATTAACTGTATTAATTACATCTGTGTTTTTCCTGCTATGGCCTAAAAATAGACTAATGTCTAATCTGTACTGTTAAAGGCCAGCGTGTGGGATTTAGTGACATCTAGCTCTGAAGTTGCAGATTGCAACCAGCTCGCCTCACTATCCCCCTTCCAAGAGTGTAGAGGTGGCCACAAAAAACTCTCAAAAAACGTGAAAGGCCCTTTGTAGAGTCATTGTTTGGTTTGTCCGTTCTGAACTACTGTAGAAACAGGCGATACAACATGGCAGCCTCAGTGGAAGAGGACCCGCTCCCTCTGTAGATAAAAACAGACTTGTGAAGAATGACTTTTCCATTGTCCTGTTGTTATTATTATTACATATTGTGCTAGGCAAATGTAGAAGTCAGACAAAAGCTCACCTGCTCCCAGTTGCTACCAGTGAACTTCAAATAAACCAGTGTTATGGTCTCGCAGAGATCTTTCCAAGGGATTAAGTAAACAAAACAGAACAAACAGGTAATATATACATGCACAAAAACACTTCGTCATTCAGATTGTTGCAATCTGCATCATTAGGTATGTTCTCCCAGACTGGACCAATCAGACAGGTTGGGACCCATTATGAGTCATATGTCTATTTATGTATTCAGCCATGACAGCAGTAATGGGACTACTGTACGTGTAGTGTGAGCACCCAGATGGGCTAACACATTTTCAGCACTGGTCCAGATCTTAAATAGTAGGAAAACACAGTGCTATCTTTGTCTCTAAGCCATGCTCATGGGCACTGGGTGGGTTTGAACACACGCCTTCCAGTTGGCAGTCTCTATTCATTACAAGGATCTAGTGTACAGACCATACAGTGTGCTTTGAAAGGTTTTTCTGTAGTTATGAAAATGTCCCAGCCCATTTGACGATCATGCAAACCTGTATGTAAAAAAAAAAAATAAATTACTTAATATTACTTATGTCTCCCTCTCTAGGACGACTGTTATGCTATCAAACTGTCTGTTTTCCAGCCTTGTTTTTTAATAGTCTGTGCATCACAGATGAAGTACTACATGCAGTTTGTTTTAAGGGTAGGTGGATCCTTCGGAAATGATTTGCATGAGGTTTGCAAAGCTGTGCCTACCACTAAAGTCAATCACTTACGCCAGTCCTTCAGTCGGTCAGTCGGTCAGGCAGCCATTCAGTTAGGAAAAGTCAGACTCCCCTGTCACTCTGGAAACAGTAAACCTTAAAGCCGACAGTCCACTGCTATCTTTCATTTATTCATTATAATTCCTACAGTGTTACATTACCAGAGGTTAAACTCAATGACTAGAGCCTGAACAACACTGAATGGCTGATGTCAACTTATCACCCATATGTTGTAATAGGATTTAGGTATGTTGGGCAATATGCAAAAAAAAAGAGCTTGAACCAGTATTGGGACTAGATACAGTGGTTTGTCAAGCAAACTGCACATCTACAATGATGTTGTGCAACATGCAAAAAAAAGCAAAGTGCTGCACTTGGAAGCACTTTGCTTTCAAATAATCTACATACAAAAGTAAAGTGGTTAGTACTGGTGAGGCTCTATAGTCCACATTGGTGCTAAAGGTTAGTGTAGTGCAGAAAACGGGCCACATCACTGTGGTATTTTTCTAACTAGTTAAATAACCTGTGTACTTATTCCCCTGCCACTCAAAAATATGATTTTCTTCTTGTTCCTACAGTGTGATGTTTGAGCTTCACTGTGCTGAATGATGTATGTGCAGTGAGTTTGAAACCAGAAGGATGTTTTCACATTTATCTGCTGAAATCGGAAAGTTTCTCTGTGATCAATGGAAATCTGATTTTTAAGGGGCCTATGATCATGATTTGTGACATCACTAATAGCTTTTAAGTAAACCCTGGTCCAGTGTGCAACTTATAGTGTGATGTAGAAACTTTAGGCTAAGAGTGCCCACTTGACTTTACAGGGAAGTAGGAGACATCTTGTGTCCAGCAGAAAAAAACAACATTTGCATATTCATAGATTCTGTCATTTTTAATGAGGCAGAAGGAGTAGATACAGTCAAGCTGTATCTGTGTTAGGAATGCTGCAAACATGACTTCCTACTGAATACATTCTTACATTTATAGACACTCATAATCCAATATGTAATAAAGACTGTACATGAAGAACAGGGAGAGAATGAAAGAGAATAAGGCAAAAACTGTGGAGAGACTCTGGGAGAGCGACAGATGGCAGACAGTAGATTAGCCCTCCCTCGCTGGTTTCTGCCCTTGTGAGAGCATTGACCAGGCCCTTTTTATCTCATTCATGTTCTCTTTTATAAAAGGGATCAACCACCAATCATTTTTCATCCTAAAAATCCCTTGTCAATCTGTAATTCTTGTACAGCCACAGTTCCGACCCTAGCTCTGACTCTTTTTTTGCAACATCAAAGCTGTCCTTCTGCCAAAATCCACCATCACTTCCTGTCAACTGACTTTGGACGAGGAAATGCTTGTGTCCGTAGGTTACCCCGCAGGAAGTATTGAGCAGAAAGATTGGAATTTCTCTCCTCCTTTTCCTCCTCTGACTAAATCATGTGAGTCTGACTGGCTGATAGGAGAGATATAGTAATGGAGGAAGCAGGTGCTCAGCACGTCAGTAATGAAAGTTAAATTAAATGTTTAAAATGTTGGCCCCCCTGCACAGGTCATCTTCCGTGTATCTGTACTGTACTGCAAATTCCTGAATCAAAAGTTCACACTGTTCATCCCACAGCGAAAAGCTGTTTTATGTCTAAACAAGGCAGTTCTGTGGTGGCTATTTTTCAACAGGAAGAACTGTGCTACAGTCACAGATGAGACTTATAAATATGCTGGCAAACCCAGCATGATACAAGTTACTGGTCTTTTGTCAACAAGGAGCCCATATATGGTACATTTAGTTTGTGGACATTCAGTCTAGTACATTTACCGTGTTGTGACCTACCACGAACTTCCTCCCAACCAATTCAAAAACACAGTTACAGAAAGTGCGGTCCAATTGTTTGACAGATCATACAGAAATGTAAAAGTAAATCTGCCAAGTTCTCCAGTTTACAAGCTAGCTGGAGAAATATTTGTGTAAATCTATTGAAGTAAGCTGATTAAAATGTATCAAAGAAAATTTCAGAACATAGACGCCTGCACGCGTGCACCAAATGTAATTACTTAAAACGTACAAACCCTGACCTTCCAGGAGAAATGGGTATCTCCGCTTCGTAAAAAACAGGTTTATGCAACAGCAGCTGCATTTCCACACTGGCACTGCTTGTGCATGACTCGACAAGAATGGGTTTAAAGCATTATGCAACAGACTTTGAGAAAGGTATGGACATAGGTGACAGGGAGGCAGTATGGAAGTCATCAAGATTGTAAAGTCGCTTGGATGGTCCACCACTTCGGTTCTCACTGAAATATCTCAACAACTTTAGTATTGTCATTCATGATCCCCAGAGGATGGCTCCTAATCTCTTTGGTGATCCCCTGACTTTTTAATCTAGTGCCATCATCAGGACAAAATATGTCCAATATTTTGGTTTATTACATTCACTTTGTCCTCACTGTTAGCATTTAGCTCAAAGCTCAATGTCTTTACAATGAATGAGATCACAAAATACAAAATGATATTACTATTTTTGAGGCAGTTTTGTCACCTGTCACACTTGCCCACAGTATGAAATTTAACATACTGTTATGAAGTAAAACCACCAGTTTCAAAAAACACAGCGTGACAAAGATGTTCATAGCAGATGATCACTCAGTGTTTCTCCTGTGGTAAACCATTGACAGCATTTGCAGTCAGCTAAAGGAATAACATGAACGCAGCATCTGTAGAAATTACCATCTGCCCATCAATCTTGGGCAGTAGCATGAAGAAATTATGTCTGCTTACTACCAGGACACTAAAAGTCTCTTGTCCCGTCGTAGAGACGTTCTTTGTTAGCTGCCAACAGAGCCTAAATCTGGACCAACATAGTACAGAGAGTTTAAACATCTTCAAATGAAGGTTTATCAGTGTAGATTGTGTAGTATTGGTATCTGGCCACTACAGAGGCAGCGTGGATAGTATTGGAACATGTCCCAGTAGTTTAAAAGCTTTGGGACGTGGCCAGAGTGCTCCTGACTGAAGAGAACAGGAGGAGCCCTGTTTGACTCTGCTGACTGACCAGAATCTCTCCCTGCCTTTTTTCTCTGCCTCCTCTCAGTGACACCACCGGCCTGTCTTAGCTGCAGTATTGACTAATGACCGGGCTTTGACTGTGTGTTTTGCAGATGGCTGCGAGCAGTAGCTGAGGACGCCGCCGGGAGTTCCCCCTCTCTGTCTCTGCCACCTGCAAATATGAATGGTAAGACCACTGCAGTTTGTGTGTGGGTGGGTGGGAGGAGGGGAGGGGACCAGAAGAGGGTGTATTTGTGCGTACGGTGCTGTGTGTTTTTTAGCCCTGCAGATCTGCTGAGGCCAACACATTGCTAGTTCCAGTAAAAATTCCCAGTTAGTGTGTGTGTGTGTGTGTGTGTGTGTGTGTGTGTGTGTGTGTGTGTGTGTGTGTGTGTGTGTGTGTGTGTGTGCACGTGCACGTGCACATACTGTATGTCTGTCTGAATACACACTGTTGTAATAATTTGTCTTTATTATTTAATGTGAGTGGGGTCCTTCTCTGGATGAGTTTACTTTCAGTCCCACTTTTAGAAATGTTGCACTCTGTTGTCATTTTGAAGTTGGTTCCATTTGTTTCCATATTGTGACACCAGCTTTGTTTATAGTGCAAAGCTGAACTGTAGTTACAAGAACTGTGCATGATTTGTTTTAATGAAGTCAACTGTCCATTCACTGTGTCTGCTGATGGACTGTGGAGGAAACACTGATGTGTAGTCAGCCTTGGCTGGGTAAATACTTGTGTTATTCTGCCCTCATGTCTGAACAAAGTGACACAGCATCACTAGCGACACTGTGCTTCATTATCACTTTGTCAATATTTGTGTGTTCCCACCCCGTGGCCGCAACTGAGGCCGGCCTCGGATTCTCTCTCCTCTCATCTGTGGGTGTGTGTGGGTGTACCGGTCTTCTTTCCTGTTTGTTTGCAAGTCATAAAATGGTTGCTAATTTTTTTGTAAACATCATAATCATGATCGTATGTGCTTGTTTGTTTTGCTTAGATTTAGGTGTTATCTGTGTGTAATATACACTTGTGTACACTTGTGTGCTTGTTCAAGGATTGAGTATCAGATACATTTACTGATATCACAAGTGTGAATTTGCAATGGGCACAGATTTGTGGACCAAAAGACGTTATGCGCCTTTTTGTTATAGGCTACTCCCACTGCTGCACCCTGTTTGACAACTGGCATGTTACTGGCACAGTTAATCAGCTTTCCTTTGGCTCATGACACAACCTTTCCACAAAATTTTGTGCAAGTCTCTGAATCTTTGGGCGAAAACTGTCACTGCCAAAGGGTGGGGAAATTTTTGTCTTCTAACCAACAGAGCGGGCTATAGAGCTGAGCTGCAGCTAAAACGCTCTCTTTTCTTATTTAGCAAAGTGCTTCTGCTTCTTAGAACAGGCTACTGCTGAATGGGCTGATATTCATCTAATGATAACGACTATGTCTGATGCTTCATACTGTCTTTTACATTTTTCTGTCCCTTCGACTCCTTTATCTCTCCAGGTGGTCCAAGTGTGTGGGCCATCTCTCCAGAGGAGAGGAACAAACATGATCAGAAGTTTGACACCCTCTCCCCATCAATGGGCTATGTCTCAGGTACATGCACAAACACATTATCACACAGACTGCCATCATGTGCATCATGCTCGCAATGATTTCCCTGCCAGCACATCAATAATGCAACCATGAGGCATCTTTCCGCCATTAGAATCAGATTTTTCTTGTGTTCCTCCCTTTCGGTAGGGGAGCAAGCGAGGAAGTTTTTCCTCCAATCAGGGCTGTCTGCCTCAGTGCTGGCTGAGATATGGTGAGAAACACCCACACGCATTTGAGTGATGGATTCACTGGATGTATTTACTAAAATCTGCACTCCAAGAACAATATATAAACACTCTCTGATGACTTTGTTTTTTCTCAGGGCTTTGGCTGACATGAATAAAGATGGGAGGATGGACAGGTTGGAGTTTTCTATCGCTATGAAGCTCATAAAGCTAAAACTCCAGGGAACATCGCTTCCCTTAGCACTGCCAATCATCATGAAGCAGCCTCCAGTGCCTGCTCCCACCCTCAATAACCCCACCTCATCCATGACCAATCCAGCCTATGGTACATGTTTATGATTTTATACTGTATGTAGAAATTTGTTGCTTAGGAACTTAACACAAAAACAACACAAAAAGAAGTATGTAGATTAAAAGAAGAAGTAAATGTTATACAAACAACTATTAACAAGTGGATCTAGTGAAGTGTGTCTGACTGATTGTCTCTATGTGTACAATTTGTCTATATGTGTCTAAACTGTGTGTACCTGTTGTGTGTGTCTGTGTGTCCCAGGTAGGGGTGCTGTGCCTAACATGTCCATGATGCCTGGGACAAACCTTGCCATGTTGACCCCTATCTCCATGGCAACCCCCGGGCTGTCACCTATGACACAGATGACAGGCCTCACCCCTTTGGTTACTACAGCAACAGGCCTGAGCCCTCTTATAGCCTCCACCCACAACAGGCCCCTGATGCCCACCGTGGGAAATGCCACCCTGCCAAACGGCACCATGGGATTTCTCCAACCAGTCCCAGCTGGAACTCTGGCCACTGGTACGGACAACATTCATTTCTAACTTTTATTTAACCGTTTCCTCTCCTCTTTTTTGTGTATCTGTCACTGCTCCTATAGCATGAGAACTACTGAGGAGCAATGCCCTGTTCTGTAAATATTGTGTATGTGTGTAACAGTGCAGATGGGGAAATATTTCTGTAGTTTAAGTAGGAAAGGAGGGAAAAGGAATAAATCCTGGTCTGGTTTTGCAGAGTCAGGTCTCTTTTCTCATCTCCATATAAATAGCCTCCCTGTCCTTGACAAGGTTACAGCAGTGGCTGGATGACTGGTTTATTACTGACTCACTACAAGGCTCCCCTCCCCTTTCTGAAAACTATAATGTTAATAGGATAAATGTAAGACAGTATGTAATGGATGTGTGTTCTTTATGTTGGCAGGCCTATCTTTCTCTGCATCCTCTTACTCCTCTCCGCTAGGAATCCCTGGTGCTCCTGCTGGTATGAACAAGGCCTCATCGCTGCTGGATCTAGGATCTGTCAGGTAACACAAAAAACACATAGAGAAATTTGGAAACAATTCCCCTCTCAAAATAGTGCCTTATTTATGTGTCAAAAACACTCTGTTCTGCCTGAATTTTGGTGCGTCCAGCTTGTATTTTTGCTGTTTGTTTTTCAGCTCCACTTCCTCATCCCCCTCTGTGATGTCCCCCATGGTTACTGGTCCCAGCGACTGGGCTGTGCCTCATGCATCGAGACTCAAATACAGACAGCAGTTCAACAGCTTGGATAAACAGATGACTGGATACCTCACTGGTACGATGATGTGTGTAAATGTATGTGTACAGTGTGTAGGTCATACAATAACCAAACCAAACTATGCGTGGAATGCAGGCGTGGATGTCCATGAACAACAGTCACTGATGATTTCATAACGGTTGCCTCCCTCTTTCTTTTTATGTTTTTCAAGCCTTAGCTCACTCTGAGGAAGTGGAGGCTGTGGGTGTGTTCAGACACAGGGCCAGTTTCTCAACACACTCACAGACACACACACACTTAGCCAAGTATGCGTTTGCCTTTTCTTTCTGTTACTCTAAGCCTTGCTGGACCTGTTCTCTTGAAATAGCCATGATACAGTCAAACAACAATGCACATACACTTCAGCCAGACTTGCAGATTATTTCCTCACTGTGTAACAGTGTGTACAGTCCAGATCATTAAAAAAATTGTTCAATGTGTTGAATAAAGCTATTCCTGTTGAAAAAGGATGTTATTTATACTACCACAGTCCTTTGATCCCCATCTCTTGTATCCAGGTAAATAAAAGGGTTTAAAAGGTTATAATTTCCTGTTTCAACATCAGACTGTTGTACACTTCAATTAGAAACGTCAAGAAAACCTTTGGAAACCAGCTATGGTGATGCATGAGACTGGTTTCTATCTTTGTTCACCTGGCACATTTAAATGTACGTCAGCACATACTGTACCAGTGTGTACAAACACACACACACACACACACACACACACACACACACACACACAAACACAAACACAAACACACATACATATACATACACACACAGAGAGCCCTTACCTCTTCCTTTCTCCACCACACCCACACATCTGTGTTATACAGTTGTTCTAACATTTGTCGCTCTTGTTGCCAGGTCAGCAGGTGAGAGGTGCCATGGCGACTACAATGCTGACTCAGACACAGCTGGCTTCCATCTGGTGAGAATATCTGTGTGTATGTGTGTGTCTGTACTTGTCCTATGATTGCTACAGTGTCTTGTTCAAGAGTCAGATTTGGCTTCATTCCACTGTTAGCTGCTATGACAATAGACCAATTGTTTGTAAAGGAAATATTGGTTTGCAGATCAATGCTGCTCTTAGTATCAGTCACCAGTAAAATACATGGAATAAGCTTTGGTATTGTAAAAGTCATAATACTTTTTACCTTTTTGTTTTAACTCCCAAAATCCTTTTTATATGCAAATTAACATTGGTGGCATCACACAGTAGGGTCTATATATGTAATGTGGATATATATGGCAGTATACAGTACATAGATAACTCCTTGTGTGAACACCAGACAATAGTTTCTTCATACCATATGTTATATAGTACAAGTTATGTAAGTCTGCAACTTTTCATTGAATAAGGCTGTAGTGATCATAAGGTCCCTATAACTGGACATGTAGACAAATGTTGAGACTTAAGTCACTAATATAACATGTTCAATTGTCCCACATAACTATGATGAAAACAGCTGATCAACAGAAAGTTGTAATCATATTTGGCTCTCTAAAGATACAAAATGTTTCTTAGTTGTCTTGAAGATCCTTCCTGTATGTAGTTCTACTGTATTCAAAGGTAATATTGTCAAAACCTTGCAACTCCACTTTGTAATCCTCCTGCAGGAATTTAGCTGATGTGGATAAGGACGGCAAGCTAAACGCTGAGGAGTTTATTCTGGCAATGCATCTTGTGGACATGGCAAAGAGTGGACAACCACTGCCGCTAACACTGCCAACTGAGCTGGTACCACCCTCACGAAGGTATGTGGACACATATGGTTCAGTTTACCCTGTACAGTGGATACAAGTGTTTGGATTTACGTACATTAAATATGGACTATATTAATCTATATGTTTATTTATTTGAATTCAAATCAGTTATTTTAAATCTGTACTCCAGGGCTGCAGTGAATGGATCCAGCCCTTCTCCCTATGCAGCTCTGACTGATGACTTGGACTTAGAACCTCCACAGAAAGCCAAAGCCAACTGTAAGTACTCACACTTCCAACCCTAAACACAGAGTGTAGCTTTGTTTAACTGCTGCATTATGTTATGTCTTGTTCTCTGTTTTCTATGAGGTCGATACCTAGTAACCAAAGATCACTGTCAATGGCCATAGATCATGGCTGTCAAACACTGACTGAAGTGATAATATAATAGCATAAATGTACACATATTGTTGTGAGATACACTGTGGCCACTAGCAGCAGCTTGAACTATAGCAAGTCAAGAGAAGCCAAGTGTGTCATTGCTGGGCAGCTCACTCTGGTGTTAAGTTTGTATGCCCTATCGTCTTACACACAGTCACATGGTAAGTGGTAGCAGCTAGAATTAAAGGGTATATCAGGTGTTTTAACATTAGGTTCACAACTAAATGCTATTTTAAAATCTCTTAATCTCCTAAACACCAATTACAATCTTATAATCATGTCTATCATTATTCGTCAGTTTTACTGGAACTACATGTTTGTTTTAAATTAAACATTAAACATGGTCCATAATCCTCCTTTTCAAACCCACCAGCTCAGTCAAGTAAATACTCAAATAAGTGATAAGTATATATTCTTAAAAAAGATCATCTCTAAAAAGATGTTCTCAAAAATGTATGATACTCTTCTGGTACTTCATTGTGGGTACATTTAAAAAAAAAAACTTTTTAAACCTAATTCAATTCAAAACACTGACATTTGCCTGTATTCAGATACATTTGAGGATAAATTCAAAGCTAACCTGGAGCGAGGAAACGCAGAGCTGGAGAAAAGAAGACTGGCTCTGCTGGAGGCGGAGAGGAGGGAGCAGGAGCGGCGTGCTCAGAAGGAGAGAGAGGAGCGAGAGAGAAGAGAGAAGGAGGCTCGGGAGGCCGAGGAGAGGAGAAGGAAAGACGAGGAGAGGAGGCTGGAGCGACAGAGGGAGCTGGAGAGGCAAAGAGAAGAAGAGCGACAGAGAGAGATAGAGAGAAAAGAGGTGAGTGTGGATGTTGTGTGTACAAAATGAAGGTTTATAGTCACAGCCGAGAGTCGTTTCTTTACACTTCAGTGTCCTGTTTGGGTTTGTTACAGGCTGCACAGCGGGAGCTTGAGCGCCAGAGGAAGGAGGAGTTGGAGAGGAGGAGGCGAGGAGAGCTTCAGATAAAGAGGGAGCAGGAACAGGATGATATCATCAAATTGAAGGCTAAGAAAAGGAGTCTTGAGATGGAGCTGGAGGCTGTGGTGAGTGACGAAGGGACATTGTAGGTTTATTTCACTGCGACATGCACGTAGACATACTGTAGATTTGCCTCTATTTGTCCAGCTGTCTTTCAACAATAATGCAAACATTAAGGGAATTTTGTAAAGTTTCTTTAATCCTTCTTGCTGTTTCTGTCTCCCTCAGGGTAACAAGCATCGTCAGATCTCAGACCGACTGCGTGACTTTCAGAACAAAAAGAAGCTTCAGAAGACTGAGCTAGATCTGACCAATCAAAGGATAGAGACACGTCGGCAGGACATTAACACCCTGCAGAAACAGCTTGAGGTGTGTGTCCTGTGTGCCACTATTTTATCATGACAAAGTAGCCAGTTTTGTGTTGTCTGTGATTTATGTGTCCGATCATTGCTTTCTTGAGAGAGTATGCAGGCATTTTTTCCCAAATATTTTCCTCCAATGACGCATTTCTTGTTGCTTATGATGCATTTCCTCTTGCTCAGGAGTTCCAGAGGAAGTTATCCCAGCTGACTCCGGAGCAGAAGAGACTGACTGAGAAACTCAAAAACATGTCTCTGAATAACCTGCCTGGTTGGTATTGATGGATGAATTGACAGAGATCATATTATGGATGAAGAAACAGCATGTTTGATAGCCGTTAGAAAAAAGAACACATTGATATGAAAATTGGGTAGTTATATCACAGTATGTATATATTAACACAGGAGGTGGAATTTCATATATTTAAATTATATATATATATATATATATATATAATAATAATAATAATATTCATAATTAAAAAAACGTGAAAGTGAAAGCATTAAAAAATGAAATATTATGAATGACAATGTAATTTCCTGATTTTCACTTTGTAAACCTTCATCCTTCATCTGTAGTGTCGAGCATGTCCACCATGAAGATGGGCGTCACTGAGAAAAAAGGGACCTGTATGAAACTGCGAGACCAGCTGGAAGCTCTGGAGAAAGAGACTGCTGTCAAACTGGCTGACATGGACCAGTATAACAAAGATATACAGGTAAGAATTAATAATAAAGTATAACATGGATTCAGTTTAAAAAGCATTTCATATAGAACATTCATAAAGAGTCTGTTTTAATCCAGGAATAACATGGAACATGTACAGGTTTGCCAGTTCTTTAAACACCTGAAATCACATTATAATCAAGTTCAAGTTTAACGGCTAAAGGGTTGAAGAATTGATGAATAGATCACTTTGTTGTCATTTCAGTTTTATAGAAAAAAAAATCTTTCCTTTTTTGCAGAGCTGTTTTGGTATGCAAAATACTTATTCAGAAACTCATCATTTTACTTGTATTAATTTGTTCAATTTGCTTGATCCACCATAAGAAAGATCTATAATCTGACCAGTCAACACTTAACATCATATTCATATGGGAGGATGGTCTTATGTCATTCTGTCCTGCTTTAAAATGATCTATAAAGACTAGACAGCTCCTTGCCTTTACATTCTCACATTCACATTGGGAGCTGCCCAGTAAAACCACTATCCATCAGTACTGACTTGAGTGGCTCCCAGAAGTGCAGTGTCAGTGGTAGTAAGGGAAGGTGGGCCATTAGTCATTTACTTTGTTTAGCCTGATTGTTCCAGTTTGGAGATTCACAAATCCACCTCTCTGTTGGTTTTGACTGCCTCACACTTCCAATTAGCAGGTGCTCGTTCAACTTTTTTGCCTGTTTGCTAAATCATTGTGACTCGTCATCATACGTGTGACTGCGTAATTACCATGTCAGTACAGTATGTGAACAGAGGTGTGTTTCTTAAATTATATAAAATGAACAATGGTGGTGCTGGCAATGTGAGGTTTTAATAAACAGCTGGTTGTAGTTTTGATTCTTCTTCCTGTTTTCCTTACAAACTAAACTTATCACATCTTTATGTCTTATTTGTATTGTATAGTACGTATACTATACTATAGACGTAACAGAGTTGATGTTTAAAAATGAAAAAAAACATTTTTGGAATGTGCAAAGCCTGTTTTTAAGTTTTACTTACTACTGCAGCTTGGCCCTTGATGCCTCTTTTCTCTCCTCCTCCTCCTCCACTCATTCCTTTCCATTGTAACTTTCTTTCTTGCCTTCTGATACTGATTTTATCCCTTTGTTATTTTTTTATTCCTCTCTTCTCTTTTGGAAATTATCTTTTTTTTCCCATGCTGGATTCCTTTCGTCTTTTCTCTCCTTTGTTCTTCCTTCCTTTCTCTTCCCTTTCACCCATGTATAATCCCTTGTCCCCAACTTTACAGTATGTGGGTGCTGAGGACTCTATGCTTCAGGCTGTCTTCTGTCTGCTGGCCTGCCTCCGTAACCTCTTCTATCTACTAAAGGTTTTCGCTTTAGGTGTCTTTGTTGTTCTCTTCTTTTTATCCTCTTTTCTCTTGGTCATTGCTCTGCTCGTATTTCTCCACCCTTCTGACATATTCTGTCTGCACTGTTTTAGCTTCTTTTATTATTCGCTTGGACATTTCATACAAATTGCTCAATGTTTAGGCACTTGTGTGCATGCTGTGTGTTTATGCCTGCTGTGTGTGTGTTCAGAGCTTTATGGTGTTATGGTGGTTATCTAGTCAGCTTGTTCTTTCACACACCTCCCTCATTCTGCTAGTAAAGGTGTGTTTGTTTGTGTGTGCCAGGAACTGAGAGAGAGCCAGAGAAACCAGCAGGCAGCACTAGAGAAACTACGGAGCATCAAAGAGGACAAACGGCGTGAGTTGATTCGAAAGAAGGAGCAGGAAGAGGAGAAGAGTCGAAGGGAAGAAGAGAGGAGACAACAGGAGGAGGAGAGGAGGCGGAGGGAGGAGGAGGAAGCTCAGAGGTATTTTACTTTCACACAGACTTATTTTTAGATTTCACAAAATATGATTTCTCAACCTGCTCTAAAATTTCCATTCAAACTGAAATGATAAAAACGTACTTGAAATACAAACTTTTAAAATAACCTCAATGTTTGCTTCCCACTCACAAGGCGTATTAAGATGGAAAAAGAGCGTCAGTGGCAAGAGAAGCTGAGGAGGGATGAAGAGGAGCGCCAGAGGAGGCTTCAGGAGGAGAGAGAGGCCAAAAAGAGGGAGGAGGAGGAGAAAGAGAGACAGGCTCTCATCCAGGCCGCCAAGGAACAGGCCGAACGAGAGCTCAGAGCAAAGGACGAGGCGGAGCGGAAGAGAAGAGAGGCGGAGGAGAGGAAGAAAAGAGAAGAGGAGGAGCGGGAGAAGCAAGCAGAGAGACGGAGGCAGGAGGAGGAGAGGAGAAAGCTGGAGGAGGAGAGGAGGCTGCTTGAGGAAGAGAGGAGGAAACTGGAGGAAGAGAGGAGGAAAGAGGAGAGGAGACGGAAAGAAGAGGAGGAGCGACGGAGGAGGGAGGAAGAGAGGAAGAGGCTGGAGGAGGAGCGGCGAGAGGAGGAGCTCAGAAGAGAGAGGGAGGAGGAGGAAAGGAGGAGACAGAGGGCCGCCGAGGCTGCCATCAGAGATGGAGAAGAGAGGAAAAAGCGAGAGGAGGAGGAGAGAAGGAAGAGGGAGGAGGATGAGAGGAGACAGAGGGATGAAGACAGAAGGAAGCTTCAGCAGCAGCAGGAGGAGGAGAGGAGGAAGCGGGAGATGGAAAGGAAGAGGGCAGAAGAGGAGAGGAAGAGAAAAGAGGAGGAACAGGAGAGGAGGAAAGCAGAGGAGGAGAGAAAGCGGAAGGAGGAGGCACCTCGTCAGCAGCAGCAGCAGAGTGGAGTAGGGAAGGTGGATATTCAAGAGAAACTGACTGCTCTGCTGAGAGGACTGGAGGAGAGGAAGGGTAAGACAGACACACACACACACACACACACACACACACACACAGATGTTGTCGTCCATACTTATCTGTATTTAAACCACTTCTGAGGCTCAATATGACCCCTCTGATGTGCTGTTTAGGTGGGCAACCCAGAGCCACACACCACAGGAAGTCAGCAGCTCTCACATCCTTCAAAGCACTCTACCCGTTCACAGCACGAAACAACGAAGAGCTCAGCTTCAATGGTGACGATATTATCGAGGTAAAACTGAAAAGCGTGTCTTGACAAAAGAGACCACGGTGTTCAAATGTCTCTTTGTTCTTCCCATCCTTAATCTTTAACATTTGTTCCTCTTTGTCCTTCTCAAACTGTCCCGTCTGCTCCTGTCAGGTTGATGAGACGACAGAGCGGGAAGAGGGTTGGCTGTATGGCAGCAAACTTGGGAAGATGGGCTGGTTCCCAGAGAGCTATGTCGAGAGAGTGGCCCCATCAGACACAGCAAATAATATTGCTGCTGCTGCTGCTCCTACTCCTAAAGTGCCGCTCCAGTCACAGCTTTCCAGTGCCCTCGAGGCTGCAAAGGCAGCAGGGACGAAGTCTGCCTTCACACCAACGCACACTCCAAACCCTGCACACTCTGAGACACAAGGACAGGTGAGAGGTTTCAGAGTGTAACACTGTATAACAAGTCCTTTTACTGCTGTAGCAGCTACTACCCTTTGATTACCACTGTATGATCATTGTCTGGACAAACACAAATGCTCAAACACTCTGTGCATTTGACAGCAGGTGGTGGGTAACCTGTTAGCCCAGGCCCTGTGTTCGTGGACAGCAAAGACCGACAACCATCTGAACTTCAATAAGGACGATGTCATTCAAGTGTTGGAGCAGCAGGAGAACTGGTGGCTGGGAGAGCTGAACGGTGAACAGGGTTGGTTCCCTAAGACTTATGTGACACTGCTTGGAGAAGAAGAGAGTTCAGAGTAAGTCTTGATGCACAAACATTTGTTCCCCATAATTATATCAGTGGGAGGGCAGTGGCTTTCTCTCTTTGTGAAAAATATCAACATTTTAACATTTTTAATTCCTCTTGAAGCCCTTTCAGAGTCACACAAGCTATGAAGGCAAATTATTTTTAGTTTACTTGGCAAAGTACCCGTACTGACTTCTAACTCATCTCTCATCACTTCTCTTCCATCTTCAGCTATACTTCAAACCTCAGTTGGCATGTGCTTTGTGATTTTTGTTTTTTTCTTAGTGCCTTGAATAGGCTGAAGAGGTCACAAGGTAATGTCTGAATCATTAAGTTAATACACTTAATGAAATAAAATATGAGGCATGTTATCTCAGGGGGCTGTAGAAGGAGAGATGTGAAGCAAAGCTGCTGCATGAGATTAATGTTGTTAAAACAACTGAAAGTTAGTTATTGTAGTTTGTCCTACAGATTTGGCACGTCTGCCTTCTTTATTGTTTGAACATAAACTTCATAGCCTGAAGCACATACCTGTCCACTTTCCATACCAACATATTTCTGGCCTTCGGGATGCTTTTTATCTCACCTTATATCAGCGAAAAAATGCATCATTCACATGATAATGTCTGTGTGTCAGTGAGTGTGCTTGAGTCTGCAGGTGCGGTTACTATTTCAGTATGTAAGGTATTCAGGCTGCAGAAATGTCTCCCTCTGTCCTCTGTGATGAGTAAGCTGCTGTGTTAACAGTGTCACACACACTTTATTTAGTTATATATATACAGTATGATGCCAGCTGGCGATGTACCAGACTGTTGTGGTAAAGAGGACGCAGAAGGTAACGCTCTTGATTTACCAGTCAATCCAGTGCACATTCCAACCTTCAGCTCTGATCATGAGGTTTGGCTGATGACCCAAGACATTTATTTCAAGTTGAGTGGAACCCCTTTTGTGGTGTACAAGTGTTTGGGCCGTTTTGAGTAATATGACTCCTTGTATTTCCGACCAAGAATGCTTTGCGTCCCCCAGGAGGAGGAGGAGGACATGGCTTGGGAAAACATTTTGTCAGTACTTTGCTTATCTGTCGCTTGCCTCTGTGATCTAGATAAGTATGGTAATGTAGTCTTTCTGTGTTTGCAGTATGAAGAGCTCCCCTCCTGATGCATCAGAGTCTAGTGACAGCCTGCAGCTTGAAGGTGCAGTAATATTTCCTCTGAAATATCATCCTAATGTAGTTGAGTTAATATTTGATCTTCATACATTACATGAACCATACATTTATATGGTTGTCTGACTCATATTTTAACGTGTTATAAGGATTTTCAGGTGGTTTTTAGGTGCACAGACATAGTAATAATTTTATTGTAATTGTGTCTCAAGTTTACATGAAAATCTGTATTGTCCTCAAAATTAAATATTGCCTGTTCATTTGTTTACTGTGTGTTGTGGATTTTGTACGTAGACTGGAGCCTCAGCTACAATGCTGTTAATTTATGTTCATACTCTTAATTATTTTCCTTTCCAGAATACGTGGCGTTGTATACCTATGAGTCTCCAGAGCCTGGTGATCTGACATTCAGAGAGGGAGATGTGATCTTGGTGAGCAAGAGGGAGGGAGAGTGGTGGAACGGCTCTATAGGCAACCGCACAGGCCTCTTCCCCAGCAACTACGTCAAACCTAAAGAGAGTGATGTAAGAACAACACATGCTGACATACAGTGCGAAAAAGTCTTTATCCTGTTTCTAAAGGTTTGTAATAAAAATGTAATTGTTTTTTTTCAGACATCAAGCATATCTGGAAAGAAGAAGCCCGGTAAGTTCTTCATCTTATCTCCCTGTCTCTGACTTTCTCATAAGCAAAGTATTCTGCAGAAATTTGAAGTTGCATTATCTCTTTTGTGTGCACAGTGATTGCCCAGGTGCTCAGGGCCCACTCCTCTACTGGCCCAGAACAACTGAATCTGGAAAACGGACAGCTCATCCTCATCCTCAGCAAGAATTCTTCTGGCTGGTGGCTTGGAGAACTGCAGGTCAGTGTTCAACTGCTGATCACAGTGTTTGTATCACAGTAGCTCTTTAGCACCATAGAGGTTTTGTGATTCAGCTTATGGCAACTCAACTTAACTATGTTACCCATCAGCTGCTGTGGCGTCATATCACTGCAGCAGCCAAAATTCTCAGCCGTTTCTTGCATCATTCAGTAGAATAGTGGTTGCTAACCTGGCGTTTGACCCCCTAAAATGAAGCCACGTCTGGAAACCATTGCACTGCTGAAGAACTGCATGTTAAAGGATTTGGAGCTAATTGTTTGCCAACATCCCTGATCAGTCTGATTGAAACTTCATTATCCATGTTTGTTTGTCTTTTCTGGCTCTAGGCCCGTGGTAAAAAACGTCAGAAGGGCTGGTTCCCTGCCTCTCATGTCAAAGTATTGGGATCCAACAGTGGCAAGTCCACACCAGCACTCCAACCAGGTAACACACACACACACACACTCTCTTTGTAAATTGACTCAATGTCGCCCCCCCTCAATGATCTCTTGAGTATAAATAAAGGTTGAATGCTTGAACACAAACACACACACACCACATTTCTCCCAAGTCAGGTTAAGAGCTAAAGTAATGGTGGCACACACTGTGCTCTTCTCTCTTAGTCTGTCAGGTGATAGCCAAATACGACTACACAGCCGCGAATGGTGACGAAATGAGCTTCTCCAAAGGTCAGCTGATCAACGTTTTAGACAAGACCGACCAAGATTGGTGGAAAGGAGAGATCAACGGGACCACTGGCCTGTTCCCCACCAATTACATTACGTTGACCACTGCGGACTGTGACCCCAGCCAGCAATGTGAGTAAATCTCTTTAACAACATATTATCATGACTATTCATGAAAGGAAATATGCATCTTTAAAAAACATAGACGCTCTTCTACCATGTTCATCTTCCATTTCCCATGTTCTTCAGTTCACAAATATAAAAAACAAAAACAAAAAGTACTAAAACACAAAAATGATTCCTGTACATACAATATACAGTAAAACATTCAACAATGATGTCATCTCAAATTACATGTACAAATTAAGCAGGGTTATTGCACAAGGAACAAATTAGTTTTTACTACTATTGCACTTCAACCTTACTACTCTAAATATATGGCCTGAGGGAAGCGTTTAAAACTCAAGGTGAAGGTGGTTTGTAGTCCAGTTTGGACATGGCCTTGTGGAGAACCTGCTCCTCAAAGATAGCCATCGGGGATGTCTGCGGGACACTTATCACCTTCCCAGCAACCTTAACAACATGGTTCAGGTGTTTTTATCCCTATTGTTCAGGTTACTGTACCAAGCAATCACAGACAAAGGGAGAACAGATTCAATAAACGACTTATAAAACAAGGACATCATTTTCTACATTAAAAACATTTAACTTCCTAAGGAAGTACAAACATTGCTGCCTCTTCTTACGGACTGCATCAGAATTCAATTCCAAATCAAATTTTAAAATATAGTTGATGACTGTCAAGTGTGACTTACTAATACTTTGTTCATCTATGCAACCTCCATCTGCCATCACTGATATTTTCATCATCATATTTTCATCCACCCATCTCTTTATCTGTATATCCTCTCTTCTCACTGACTATTTCCCCTGTTTTTCCCACTTCCTCCCTCCCTCCCCAATCTGTATTTCTCCTTCTCTCTCTCTCTCTTTCTCTCTCTTTCTCTCTCTCTCTCTCTCTCTCTCTCTCTCTCTCTCTCTCTCTCTCTCTCTCTCTCTCTCTCTCTCTCTCTTCCCTCTGCTTCTGTTTCTTTCTCCTTCCAGGGCGGTAGAAAGTCCTCTTCCTCCTCCACCTCCTCCTCTTCCTCTCCTACTCCTGACTTCAGAGAGACCCACTATTCCACACTGCTCTGAAGGGGCAGAGTGTCTGGACTTTCTACTAACTTCTCCCACTGAGCTAATGTTACTGTGTGTGTGTGTGTGTGTGTGTGTGTGTGTGTGTGTGTGTGTGTGTGTGTGTGTGTGTGTGTGTGTGTGTGTGTGTGTGTGTGTGTGTGTGTGTGTGAGTTAACAGAGTGAACGTGTGTGTGTGTGAGAGAGAGAGTTAACAGAGGGAACGTGTGTGTGTGTGTGTGAGAGAGAGTTAACAGAGTGAACGTGTGTGTGTGTGTGTGTGAGAGAGAGTTAACAGAGTGAACGTGTGTGTGTGTGTGTGAGAGAGAGAGTTAACAGAGTGAACGTGTGTGTGTGTGTGAGATAGAGGAAACAATACTGACAGGTCCTGTTGCCTGTGAATGAACCAGGACCTGAAACAACTTAATGATGACTCTCAATGCTGATTCTATGAATTGTTAAAGCCTCAGTGCCTTTTGTGATTTCCTCTGTTTTTATTTTGATTGTGAACTGATGATGCTTATCATCATGTGATTAATACGAACATGCATCTGACACAGAGGGATAGTTGGTCTCTCTGTGGCTTGTCCCTCTTCCTTCCTTTTGTTTCTCTTCACAACATGCTTATTTTCCCTTTTTTTTCATCCCACATCACTCACTTTTTCCTTTCTCCTTTCTTCCTTTTCTTTCATTTTCCATTCTTCTTATACTTTTTTCCATTCTTACTGTCCAGTTTTCTGACAGTCTTCAGCTCACACAGAACCCAATATTGTGTCTCTGTCTCTCCTCAGCGATGTGTCTATATTCAGCCTCGTTCTATAACTCTCATGCCTGTGGATATAATGATCGATAAAGGACCCAGCACTCTGCACTTGTTTTTAAAATGCTTGAAACAAGGCATGATGTGGCTATTTGACTTTTTAAATCCATCAAAGAAAAAAATGTTCAGGAAGGAATAAAGTAATAGAGATGTTCCACGAAACATTTGTACAGGATTGAGTCAGAAACTTGTGTGGATAAAATGTTGCCTAGCCTTTGCTTTCACCTCATGGAAACTCTGCTAACTATAACCATTTTGCAGTGGATTTTATGCCTTTAAAAAACCTTCTGTTGAGCTTAATTTGGACAATAAATGGTACAAGCGGAAGCGTACAGTTTGTCCTCTACATTCAAAAGCCATAATTGGATCAGCTGCTATCACTGATAGAAGGAACATAAGTAGGTTTGAAATGAGATGAAGCGACTCTTCGCCATATGGCTTACTGTTCAAAGTCACTGACTGACATGAACTTTGCCTCCAGGGGTGATATTACAAACTGCTGCTGTTGCACCTTATAGTAACTGAATGCCGTTTTGCTGCTGCTCTAAATGTTTTTGTTTGCTCAAAAAGTGAATGAAAAAATAACATAGTTATTGTTATTGTCAGGACTGTGGATACATTTTATTCAGGTCAACAAGTGGAAAACACTTGTCTATGCAAGCTTCACGTGAGGTTCTGTGACTCCTGTGTTCAGTCTGATGAATACTGGCATCAAATGAAAGATGTTTCAGTACTTTAGTTAACCACCATCAAATTGTTGCACAAGCTGTAGCCACTGTTTTTCTTTTTTCTCATCTAATTCAGAAGTTACCTGGCTCAGTTTACCACAAACCTCCCTCAGATCTGTGAAAGGCTGCAGTAGAATCGAGTAAACCACACTGGCAGAAAGCTGCATTAAAGGTTCATACTGTAGCAGCAGGCACTGTTAGCACAACTGATTTGAGAATATATATATTTAGAACGTTTGTGGTACAAGATGGTGTAACTATTTTTGAAGATGTATCTAATATATTTTCTGATTCTGAAATGAAACAAAAAATAAAAATTGGTTTGAGATGACGAGTGTTGTTGAAATATCAGTTCACCTCTACACAGAGAGAGTGTGTGTGTGTGTTGTATGCAGAGTTTATATTGTCAACACAATACACATGATTAAGATGGACAGATATATATGGTATGTGAACAACCTTTTCAGCTGTTTTAGTCACCTGTATTCAGCGTGATGCAGAGTCAAACATCCAAATTAGACAACACTTTTCTTTTTTTCTTTTTAGCCTCAACTGTGCTAATATGATCTGATCTGGACAAATTTTCCAAGTTTCCAGATTTATTATAGTGGCAGAAGTCACTAAAATCTAGAAAAGGAAAAAAAAGCCTTTTCCACTCTGAACATGCATCAAAGGGTGAGAGAGAAAGAAAGAATCCCCCTTCCTGTTTTGGTACAAACAGATTTGGTCTGGCAGAAGTTTTAGTCTGATACCAAGATTGCAGTTCAGAAAGAGAAAGAGACGAACAAGACAGGAGGGACAGCGAACAATCAGACTGTGAGCAAACTCAACGGAAGACAGACAGCTAACTAAAATATTAGAGAGACGGAATTGGAGTCATAGTGATGACTTTACAGAGCAGATTTACCTTTCTAAACCTTTGGGATGAGACAGATGATGAGAGTGAAGAAGGAGAGGGAGAGGAAAGTGAAGGCTCAGTAAGGGAGCAACAGTCAGCTAATACGGAACCCTCACAATGGGCCAATGGACACCCTGTATCAGGTAAGTGTGTGTGTGTGTGTGTGTGTGTGCCTGTGTGTGCTTGTGCTGATCTAGATTATCGTCTTTCATGTTTCCCTTCTTCTTCTTCCCATCGTCTCCCTTTCTGATGACTTCAGTAATGTGCACATACACTTGAGAAACAGTCAATACATCAACGTTTTGTTTTTGTCCAAATGTCCAGCAGGAGGCAGTAAAGGCGGTGCTGTGGTTTAAGTAATGACTTGGTTTACGTTGAGGCCGGTGCACTGGTTGAATTTATCTGTCCAAGTAATACAAACCCTTCTCTTGTGTGTTCCTCCTCTCCTGCAGGGTGTGCAGACCTGAACAGCCTGGACTCACTGAGCCCCCAGGAGAAGAAGAGACAGGGTTACATCCATGAGCTGATACAGACTGAGGAGAGATACGTGGAAGACTTGCAGATAGTGCTGGAGGTAACAGACACATGTCCTGCTGAATAACTTGTGTATAAATATATACAGCAAACTGAGTACAATTACATGCTGTGGCAGAACATAGTGTGTGTAAATCCTTAATTTTTTTTCTATCTTGACGTGTGTGTGTGTGTGTCTGTGTCTGTGTCTGTGTGTGTGTGTGTCTGTGTGTGTCTGTGTGTGTGTGTCTGTGTGTGTAGGTTTTCCATAAGCCTATGTTGGAGTCGGGCCGGGTGAAGGAAGCAGAGATGAGCATGATCTTTGTTAACTGGAAAGAACTGCTGACCTGCAACACTAAGTTTCTCAAGTAAATATCACAGAGCGAATGTGATTTAAAAGGGACAGTCGGTCTGAGTGGATTAATTATACACAAGTGCAGCTATTTTAATGTTAAAAACACAGAGCTGCTTGGGTTTTCATATGTGCATTTATGTGTGTGCAGGGCACTACGTGTTCGTAAGAAGACGGGCGGGGAGAACATGCCGGTGCAGATGATCGGAGACATCCTGGCTGCTGAGCTGTCCCACATGCAGCCCTACATCCGCTTCTGCTCCTGTCAGATCAACGGAGCCACACTGCTCCAGATTCGCATTGACAGCGAGCCGGACTTCAAGAACTTCCTCAAGGTAGGAAGGAGAGGAAGGAGTGAGCAAGGAAAGGAAGTGAAGGTGTAACTATAAGAAAATAAACATAAGAGTGACAGAATAATTGTGGAAATGTGTTTACTTCCTGTCCTCTTTTAGTTGTTTTCTTACTTTTCCTAATATTTCCCATTTATAGCTAACTTGTTGTTCAATCAGAAATACACTCCACCTCTGTTGAAACTGGCCTAAAGTCATTCTCGCAGACTGTTTTAGAAACCAGGCACACGCATGAAGGTGAAAACAAGATTATTTTTCTCTTTATTAACACTGTCTTTTATTCCCACCAGAAAATTGCCACAGACTACAGGTGTAAAGGCATGCCGTTGTCCAGCTTCCTGCTGAAACCCATGCAGAGGATCACACGCTACCCGTTGCACATCAAAAACGTAGGCCATCGTGTTCATGAGCGTGTCTCATTAAGTGGTTCAAATACTGACCTTACTGCGTGTAATTAACTGTGTGTGTGTGTGTGTGTGTGTGTGTGTGTGTGTGTGTGTGTGTGTGTGTGTGTGTGTGTGTGTGTGTGTGTGTGTGTGTGTGTGTGTGTGTGTGTGTGTGTGTGTCTGTGTGTGTCTGTGTGTGTCTGTGTGTGTCTGTGTGTGTGTGTGTGTGTAGATCCTGGAGTGCACTGCAGAGGGCCATGCTGACCGAGGTCCTCTTAAAGAAGCTCTGGAGAAGGCTGAAGAACTTTGTCAACAGGTTTGATTCTCTCAATTCTCTATGACCTTGCTTATTCCTTCTTACTCTCTTCTGTGTGGAAAAGATCTGGTCTTTGAATTTTATTGTTTTCTCTGAATAATTGTAAAAACAGGTAAACGAGGGCGTGAGAGAAAAGGAGAACTCTGACCGACTGGAATGGATTCAGAACCACGTACAGTGTGACGGCGCTGCAGAGGTATTAAACTAAGAGTTTTGTATAAATCAAGTAATTTATTTTTAGTAGTAGTATTTAGCTCGATTAACTTTTTGGTAGTATCAAAAGAGAATTTTCCATTAGACCTAATCTAAAGAACAAGTTTCTGTCTTTCAACAGAACATGGTCTTTAACTCTCTCACCAACTGTTTGGGCCCCAGGATACTGCTCCACAGCGGCAAGGTGAGTAAAACTGTGTGTCTGAAACTGCAGAAACTGGAGGCAGTGAATTACTCTGGTGGGTTAATATATTCCAGAGAAATTAACATTTTTTTACTGAATGAATATTTTTAAATGTAAAATGCTACAGAGAGCAGACAGACCGGGGAGTACAGGGAGATGAAACGTGAAACATGACCGTCAGATCTCGGGATGTCGTGGTTACATGTTACAAGCCGCAGACCACACAGTGAAACTTTCACAGTAGAGATCAGTAAGCAGAGACCCGACAGAAGGATCTCAGAGCATGATGATACATCACCATGATTAATGTTGTTATATAAAAGTAGATATTGGGTTTTTGACTTAAGGATTAAATGTCTTCTTATGCTGAACAGTTGACTATAAAAAATGTCAAGTAAATAGGTTTTAGTTCGCCTTACTGTCTAATTATTGTTGCAGTGATTATAAATATTATATATATATATAAATATCACTTCTTTTCAGATGTACAAGGCAAAGAGCAACAAGGAACTCTGGGCTTTCCTCTTCAACGACTTTCTGCTTTTGACTCATGCGTCCAAACAGTTCACCTCGTCTGGCCCTGATAAACTGTTCAGCAACAAGAACAACGTACAGCTCAAGATGTACAAGCCGGTAAGACACGCACACTTTTTTTGTTGTTGTTGCTTTTTTAACTTTTGACGAAATCAAACAGACAGGGTCATCGTAGGTAATATGAAATGTTTGACATCGTATACAAAAAGGAAATAAAAAGAGGCTGGGTTACATTGTAGTGTAAAGGTCCCTGGGTACTTTATGCCCATGGTTGGCCGTTGAAGTCTATAATTCGTATAAAATGTCTCCCTGTTCATTGGTCACATTTAATGTTGGTGTTTGACAGCGTGTAATCTTTTACTTCCTGCAGCCTGTGCTGCTAAATGAAGTTCTGGTTAAGCTGCCAGATCCTTCCAGCGATGAGCCCACCTTCCACATCTCACACATCGATAGAGTCTATATACTCAGGACCGACAACATCAATGAACGGTAGCTGTACACGCACTCGTGTAAACAAACACACACAGAGATTGGGTGTGTTTGGAGGCCTTTAAAATCACTGTGCGTGTTTTGTGTTTTCAGGACAGCGTGGGTTCAGAAGATCAAGGCTGCATCGGAAGAATTTATCGAGACAGAAAAGAAAAAGAGGGAAAAGGCCTATCAAGGTTTGCCTCTGCGCTCACACAGCCGCACTGATGGCAGTCAATATATGATGATCTCTGAGTGAATTGATCTGTGTGTGTTTGCAGCGCGATCTGTGAAGGCTAGTGGAATCGGCAGACTCCTCGTCACCATCTTGGAGGCCACTGAACTCAAGGCGGGCAAACCCAATGGTGAGCGTGGATACACTCATGTTACAGAATGAACTTAAATTATTATGGTAGAATCCAGATTTTAATCCCTGCTTCATGGTTACCTAATGACGACAAGATAATGCTGCAGTTAGACTTGATTATTTTAATGCTTTCTCAAGTTTTGTGTCATTGTACGCTGTTTAACATTCTTAATGTCGTCCTCCAGGTAAAAGTAACCCATACTGTGAAGTGACCATGGGAACACAGATCTTCACGTCCAGAACGCTCAACGACACTCTGAACCCCAAGTGGAACTTCAACTGTCAGTTTCACATCAAAGACCTTTACCAGGACGTCCTCTGCATCACCATCTTTGAAAGAGACCAGTTTTCACCTGATGGTCAGTAACCTGCTAATTTCTTCCCTTTTCTTCTCTCCTTTTCACCTCGTCTTCGCCCTCATTCCTTCTGTGCGCAGTGGTTTTTATCATTATTACACCATTAAAATGTCTGAATACCACGAGTCCCTAATTCTCACCTTTTTGTCATTGGAGCCCCACGCACATAGGATGGGATCAGTTCATCTGTATTATTATTCTGAGCTCTTTTTAAGCTCCCATTAAAATGTTCCTTTCTATTTCTTTTCTTATACCAGACTTTCTCGGTCGGACAGAGGTTCCCGTGGCAACCATAAAGAAAGAGTTTGAAAACAAGGGACCAGTGACACGTCGTCTTCTGTTGCACGAGGTTCCTACGGGGGAAGTGTGGGTCCGCCTCGACCTGCAGCTCTATGCAAACAAGTAGCTGTATAGGATGAACTGAAATAATAATGGAGTCTTCTACCAAGACGTTTTCCTCCTGCAGAGTAACCAAATAAGAAAAGCTGCTTTTTCTCACCTAAACAAACTCGGGAGGGTTCCCCACACACGCCTAATATGGACTAAGATACCCTAATCAAACTGAACTGTGTTTCACACACAATGCCTAAATATATTAATGTCAACCAGCACTAGTAATACCTCTTCTGATGTCACCTGAGTCTTCCAGTAGGGAAGCGAAACCCAACAATAGGAGTCAGATCTCTTTTTTTTTTTCTCTTTTGACTGGTGCAGCTGTTTGCACCCGACCAATACGTACTGTATGCTCTGAAGGAGTTAAAAGGAAGGACCGCAGCCACAGTGGAGACGCAGCGCGTGGTGGAGTTGAGTCTGGGTCCTTCTGTAATAATTTATAACCTTCAGATGGAGGTAGAAGTGAAAAAAGACAGTTTAGAAGCAGATAACCACAGTACTATTAATAAAGTAATACGGCTATCAGTAGAAAGTTCATATCTACTCTACTGTCTAGACTCTCACAGCTCTGTAGTTACAACAGTTGGGTTTTGAATATTCAGTGATTGAGACACACTTTGCCAAGTCTGGTCAACCAAGGCCGTTTAATGAGTAGAAGCTGAGCTAACAAGTGTTTTCTCTTAACTTACAAGATATGTACATATGTACTGATGGTTTTCAAGAGACTGTCTGATCCGTAACATGTCGTCTTCTCACAGTGACGTTAAGCGAATCATAAACAGTAGATGGCAGATGATGGACCGCAACACGGACTCTGTCGAGCCGACTGGTCTGGAGTCAGTTTACTACTGTAGATAGAAGATCTCAGGATATGCTGTTCTGGGTTGAGTGTTTGTTAATCTGTTGTGTGCGTGTCTATGTGTGTGTGTGCATGTCTTGAGTGTAGAAGTCTACTTAACGTTTAGTTAAGATATAGCAACATATAACAAATATCTTCAGCCGAGGGCTCTTGATGCTGTAACTCTTGGATTTAATTCATAACTTCTGGCCTTAATACAAGTCATCTTTTTAGTCTTTTAAAATCTGTCAGTTCTTTGGGATGCTGTTGGTCTCTGGATATATTTAGTAGCTTGTTTTCTTTCGTGTGCAAAATCCGCCACGGCCAAGAAGTTTGAGTGCAACTAATAACACACAGGTATGAAAAACTCTACTGATGAACATTTTCCTTTCCCTTTCCTTCTACACCTGTTCCTGCCTTCCTCTTCACTATGGAGGATTTTGAGGATGTCAATATTTAGAGGCAACACAGATAGACAAGAGAGTTTGTCAGCAATAATAAACAGTATTTTGTATCTTGTATTTTTGTTCTTTACACCTTTTACGCTGCCAGAGATTTTTAAGTGTCATTCTCCAGTCCTCGTCTCACTGACAGCAATATTAGCCATCTCTGTTGCCTCAAAAAGTTGCCCTTTACAAACATCCGCCATGAAAACTTTACAAGGATATAGTGTGTAAAAGCTTTTTATTTATGTTGTCGGTTAACTTTTTGGTGTCTTCTATCATGTTTTTACTCTTTTTGTCCTTTTACATCCAGTTTCTTTTCTTTTCTAACTCTGAGCGGATATTAACAAAAAAGTGTTGTATTTATTTCTTAATTTATGCGTGTGTGACCATCCAGAGGTTTGGAGCGGCTTTGCTTGCTGTGACATCTTGGATAATCAGTTGGTATCCACTGGGTTTGTTTTGAAGATGTGTGACGTCAAATATTAAAGATGTGTTCATCGGACACATGTTGATACGGTTTTAAAAGGCAATATAACATCTTAGATGATTCTGTATGATTGAGTTTTACTGTAAGTAGACTAGGTCACTAGTCGTTTTGGTAGGCCTGCTGTTTTGTGCTCTTGTACTTTATTCATTTTTCTTATTCAAGCAACAAAACTTTCTTTTTAAGTCCTGTATTAACTTTTTTTTTTGAATTTGTGGAAAATGTGCAAATAGACTGGACTACCTTCCTCATCTGTGTAGAGGTGGTACAAGTTTGTGTTTTTTGTTTTACTTTTTATTTTCCGCAGCCTTCTGCATTGACTGCTGCTGTGCTAACTGAGTTTATGGCCTCTATAACCCAGATTGTCCCATCAGCCTGGAGTCTGGAACCTGCTGTTTGTACTCACTTTGGCCTCCATGTGGCTCTCTCTGAATCAGGGTTTCTTAAGTCAAATTAAAGACATTAAAAGTGAACAAACTGTCGATTTATTAAAGCAGCATTTAAAACTTGCAGCACCCCACCTCTTGCAGCAGAACATAAGGGGTGAATGGCCCCTAAACTTCAGCTTTAGACATTTAGAAGTATGTTAACAAGTGAGACTGACACTCATCTGGATGTTATGTCACAGGTGATAATCGTAAACGCAACTCTAACTTCATGTAATTTCTTTCAAACGCTGATTATCTAAGTAACTTTGTCCGAAACACACCACTTCAGCCTTTGTACATAATTACACCGTCCAAACATTACCAGTCACAACACAACCTTTATTGTTGTTATTTTATTTTTATTTGTCATTTTGTGTAGAGTGAATACACTAATCATGATGCAAGCTTTTTTTTAAAGATGCCTACAATAAAGTGAAATTACATGTTTGAGCGCTAACATTCAGTGTAGGGAGGACATAGGGTTTATTTCACTACATCACAAGCATAAACTCTGTCTTGTTTTGTCTGGTTAATCAAATATTTGACTAAATTGTTATTAATGTTATTTTAGTAAAAAAAAATAAAACCAGACTCAATATAAAATTTGATTTTATTTCTCACTGGTTTGTGTTGGTGTCCATCCACGGACTCAGTGAAGTTCAGTGTGGACTTGTCAGTGCGCACCAATAGACCTCATTAAGTCCTTCTTCACCCTCCACTGGCTCTGGGTCCACAGGAGCAACAGTCATTATGTAACCACGCTGAGTGGCTCTGCGAGAGGCTGACAGCAACACACACAGCTGCGTAACTGAGTCGACCAAGTCAGCTGAACTCAACCTTCTGAGTCCCACAGTGGTATAATGGATTTAATGCAGTGGGACTGTGGTGATATAAATGGTAGTAACCTGTGGTAACTAATTCCTTTATACTTGATTAAAAACCAATGTGTCCCAGACGTAGAAGAACCACTCGACCTCAAAAAAGGATTTTAATTTTATACATATATTGCTCCAATATTATAATCTCAGATGACACTTTAACAATTACAGATAACTGTAGCCTGTAATGTAAAATATTTGGATACCAAAAAATTACAAAATGTAAAAATAGATTATATTGCTTGTTGGTTAAAGATTTAAATGACCAAAGAAAAAGTAACATTTTGGAAGCATGTCACTGTAAATACACTGTTAGGAGGATGCCTGTGATATGGATATAATACTGCACCACAGTGAAAAGAAAGAATGTGTTTATATGAGAGTGTGAAATAGTTTGATTCAGTTACTACAAGGCAGGCAGAGTGTTTGCATTAATTTAATTTGTCTAGTAAGTGGAAAGCTCAAATTGGACATGTGTAAAGAGATGAAAATAGGCAGACAGCTCTCCTGTGTCTGTCTGTCTGTCTGTCTGTCTGTCTGTCTGTCTGTCTGTCTGTCTGTCTGTCTGTGTTGTTTGCAGGTAGTCACAATGAAGGTCATGTATGTCTGAGTATATATTTATATACTGTGTGCAGACTGTCAGTGTGCAGACTGTCAGTGTGCCCTTTGTAGTCCCTCAGGAGACAATATACAGGTTTGGAGAGCAAGAAAGAAACTCTAGACAAACTTATGATGTTCAAAATTAAAAATTTCAATATTAAAAATATTTTAACATGCCAAAGCTCTCATAAGCAACTAACTGGTGAAGAAAGTTTAAAATTTAGCAGCTTAAGAGCCAGATTTTTCCCTCAACTTGTCTATATAGGTGAAATGTAACTTTGTCATGGCTGCCAACTAAAACAAATTAATATTTTGTATCTAACTGCCAATTTGAGTTAGATATTTTTAGATATTTCTTTATAGCTCTCATGCAAAAATAAATCACGACTCATACAGTAAATCGTCTTTCCATAGGACTTTCCCTTTTAAATAAAGGTACAGTAAGAGTAGAGGCACACAGAAATAGCAAAAGGTAAGGCTAAAGGTTGGGAACGGGTTGATGGAGCTAGAGAGTGAGGTAAAGTATAAAAAGAGAAGTGCAATAAAGCAGAAGAAGAGAGTAGTTCAGAGGCAGGAGGAGGAAAACAGACAGAAGGGAATAAACACATATGGAGACAGAGAAAGACAGTATGGAGAGAGAGAGAGAGAGAGAGAGCGAGAGAGATGTGCATGGAGGATGAGTCTGAGAGGCCCTCAGTTCCACTTGACTCAGTCATGGGAATGATTTGATTATCACCACATGAACAGCTGTCTTATGTAACACACACACGCACACACACAAAGAAAGAAAGAAAGAAAGAAAGAACTCAAAAATAATGAGAGGTCTGTGTTCTGGCCAAAAACCTACACTGAGCAAAGGTGGCCTGTAGCAACAGAATGACAGAGAGTGAAAGAGAGAGTCCATATCAAAGAAAGCTCACAGAGAGGGTCAGCCAGGCCTCTTCCTGTCAAATTTAAACAACAAAAATGTTCCTAGTTTCTTCATTTAGCAGATATTACATACATTCATAACTGAATTTGAATGGGTTGAACAAATACAATACAAGAAGCTGAGAACTCAATTTGGTTATTCCTAATATTTCTGTTTAAATGTATCAGTACATATTATATACATTAATCTGTATTGAAACTGACCCAGAGACGAGACTGCCCACACTGAAGGTCCAGCTAATGAATAATGAAATGAAATACTAGTGGAGCAAAGACTGCACTGTTATGTAGGTCCAGCATTGCCACCCAGCATCTGAAACTCCTGTCCCTTGCTATTTCAGAGATGACTGACAACAGTTCCCCACAGAACACACTGCACAGAGTTAACAGTGTTAATATTTCATCGCACTGAGCAGGAGGTGAACAAATGGATGCATTATGGATGTAAGTGGTGTATGTGTTGTGCTTTCTGTATGTAGAACAATGTTTAGATCGCATTATTCCCTCTAGTTTGAGTCCCGGCCCTCTGCTCATCGAGGCCTCACCTCTCCGAAACACTTTCCAATATACTCAGTTACCAGTTTATTACAAATGTGCAGCCTGATGCAGCCTAATACAACAACATGTGATGTTTTATTGCAGTTGACTTCCGACCTCTCGTGTATGCAAATGTGGGTGAACAAAAACATCAGAAAGACCTTTAATGTGATAGAGACAGAGAGTAGATGTAGTGTAGACGATGAAGGTGAAGGGAAGAAAGGCAGTGAGGTTGTTCTGATGGTAGGATGAGGAGAGAATGTGAGGGGTGCCCTGAAGACTATTTACAGATGACCTGGGACTATGTTTTATTCATTTGTTTTTTATTCTGTGATACAGTAGCCCTCTCGCAGTGTAGAGGCCAGAAGGAAAAGGTCTGTTTTCTGCCTTTCTCTTCAACCCAGGGCATAATAAAGACCTTAACAACCATGAAGAAATTACTGTAATTTCTTGTAATGTTCTCTCTCAAGTAATTATGCAATCTGTTGAGAGAAGTGGGCTAAAATGTGCTTAGGTTTCAGACTGGCTAAAGCACACCCAGTATCACAATTTGATCTTTAGAGTAATATTAAATATTGTATGAACAGTGCATTACCGACTACTCTAATAACCTTTACAGAGGCAAATGTTAAGTTGTTGATTCAGTGATTTGTATAAGAGTTTGAATGGATATAAGGGGGGGGGCAACCCACTCGTGAACAGCGGGGGGAAGTAAAAACAGAAAAAAACATGAAAGGCGAAAAATGGAGGGACATGAAACAGACCAAAGGGATTACAACTGATATTAGCAATGTGAGGGATTGAAGGCAACTGTTGGTCGATTGGTCCACCATTTTGTTCCGGGCCAAAATATCTCAACAAATGTTAGATGGATTTGCACAAAATTTTGCTTTGCTGACATTGCCTCCAGCTCCACAATGAGGCTGACATTTTGGGGTTTTGGGTGAAATGTTACAACAGCTGTTGGATAGATTGGCCATGCCCATGTCCCCCTCAGGTAGTATAACTTTAATTTACTTTAATTTTACTAATTAACAATAATGCATTTTCCACCTAAAAGCAAAGCCGCAGACTGTTTTAAGTACACCTTTGAATGTTTTTTTCATATACCTGTAGAGAGCTGTTGCCCTGGATAATTCTGTCAACCCACAACCAGAGGCAGGAAGGTTTCTCAGGCTTTTCCCTGTTGCATAATATCAGCACAAAAATAACCTGCCAAGATGACAGGTTGGCTGATAAAATTTTCATAAACGTTATCTGATATAAAGTTATTTTTAGAAAATTGTTGATTTTGTTCTACAACATCATTCCCATACTTCTAGAAAGTTCAGTCATTTGTTGTGTGTAAAGCATTTCGTAACACTGGTTTTGAAAATGTTGCAAAATATATTTTGAACATTTTTATGTTCATCACACATTGAACACCATTTCACATGTGATAAATTCACATGGAATAGGCACGCATAGTTTGCAGTGTAAAACATTGCACGTGCACTGGTCATTTTCACGTGTCATCATATTTGAAATTCACACGTTGTAAATGTACATATAGGCACATGTGGGTTTTCAGCATTACACATGAAATACAATATTTCCCAATGAGAATTTTAAAGCATTCAGTTTGCTTTTCTGTGACTCTGTCCCTCCCTCACTCCTTACAGAAAGAGAGAGAAACCAAGAGGGCAGAGGCAGCAAATCTGCATATACAAGCATATGCACGTGTCATGTCTTTGTGTGTGATTGAGTGTGTGTGTGTGTGTGTGAGAGAGAGAGAGAGAGAGAGAGAGAGAGAGAGAGAGAGAGAGAGAGAGGGCTGCAGACGTTTGGCAGAGAGAGAAGAGAGGGATTTGGTCGACCTATCGGGGGCTTTTATGTCATATTTCTGCCCTGAGGACCTGACCTCTGCCTCTCTGTCTGGAAAATAACCTGGAAAAACTAAAATGGAATATCGGAAAACTCCACTCTGTAAAAACCAGTCAGAGCAACATCCCTCTTTCTGGTACTGCATCCAGGAAAGAAGAACTGAAGGCATGAATGACTAAAAATTTTAATTTGTATCTACTAAGAGAGTGACGAGGAGAGGAAGGCTTGTATACGTGGGCCT